ATATTGATTTTTATGATTGTATGTTAAAATAAAAATAATGAAGTATGTTTACAAACAATTATGTTTGTTTTTTTTTTTTTTTTTGAGGGTGTCATTAGATTACCGATTCAACTATTGTAGTGCATCAAATGGTAGTTATAAGAAAAAATTGTTTAGCGCTTGTAAATTTAACCTATACAAATTATTTTAATTAAAAGTATTAATGCATATTTTACTAATCTTTGGAGGGCCATAGTTAATAAACTAGCGAACCAAAATTGACGATTCGACTACCAAAATGTTCAGAAAAAAAAGCTTTACCAGAATCCATTAGGTATCCAAAAATATAGTGGTTACCATTTGAAAAAAAAAAGTTGATTTTGCTATTGGTACACCTGCGTGTTTAAAAATTTTGAAATTGTTATAAAAAAATTGCTTGTTAAAAATAAAGAAACACGTCTTTTTTCGTTTTAACGAAATTCCATATCATCGTTCCGTAATCGTCAAAAAACCCCACGTACAATGACATAAGATACACCCTGTATAATATATATAGATATAGTTTTAATAAAAACAAATTTTTATATTTTCTATCAGGGAGATTTTGCAATATAAGAATGCAATTATGTTATATGTTTTGTCGATTGTTATTTGCACCCACACTCCACATCAGTGCTCAAATAAATAGACCAAAAAGTGTTCGTAATATAAGTTTTTGCGTCCGTTCCGGTTCGTAAAAAATATTTAAAAATTGCTATTTGGTAATACGCTTCTGGCAGTACCAACAATTAAAAATGATAAAATTTCTTTTCGATAAAAATAATGAAATATAGAAGTCCAAGTGGATTCACAGTTCACTTGACATCACTATATAACTATATTTGAGCTTGTCGTTTCTTTGTCCTATCGCATTAACAATGTAGTTATGATCGAAAATGCAAGTATACTTAGGGGCTAATCTACAATATTAAAGCCATGACTGCAATAAAAGGCAAAACAATGTAAAAATACCCAATTTACTATCGAGTAAACAAAAATTAAGACAAATTAAAAGTGAATATTATTATCCTCGTATCAATTTTATGAGTGTTCTGGTTCATAAAATTGTTTATTTTGATTTTCGAGCACTGCTCCACAGTGAAGAGGTAACTAGAAAAGAATACTGAATAGCATTTTTCGATCTCTATATTTTTGGTAGTATACCTATGTATAGTAATTTGCGCATTGCGCCCATAGTATCTAACTATCCATAGACCTTACATTATCATTATTTATACTGCTGTACATTGTATTGGTGTAAAAACGAATGTTTTATTATTTATAATCAACAGTCGTTTCTAATAATATTAATAATATATATGTATTATAAATTATAATATTGCGTATTAGCAATTAAAACGCTTTATTTTACATTAACCTATACAATATTATAAATTGTTGATTAGTTTTATGCAAATACTTTATTATATTTATATACGAAACAGTGTACTCTAAGTTCTGAGTAACTGAGACTCTTTCCAAAAAGAATATACGCCACTTGCGCACATCGCAACTGACGAGCAACGGCAGTTCCTAGCTCAATTTCTCCCACTCTCGAGCTCTCGATCATGCATGATGGTCACCGATCGATACTGTCAGCCAAGTTTACACCGGGTTCAAATATATTGTTTACAACAGCTATCGCGTGGCGGCAAGAGTAAATACGATGTATATTATTATAGTTTTGATAATTTGAACCAGCTGTATATAGTCAGTGGCACTCAGTGCACAACGAGCTGACTGTACAGCAGTCGCGCGTTCGTTGAAAACCGGCGGTACATGGTGGGGGATGCGCGCTGGCGAACGCAACCAGTCACGAAAGTGGTATATTATTATACTATATTATTATTATCTTTTTTTTTTTTTGTGATGTTTGAGTTTTCGGTATCCGAGATTATTAATAGATATTCGTTTTATCATGTTTTAAATGTTTACAATACATAGGTACTATCTATAATATAGCGACTGATGGTTAATAGTGTTAGATTTTTTGACATTTCATCCGTTTGCATCGTGTCGTCGTGTAGACACTAGACGTGAACGCCGGAATCGATTGAGTTGTATTGAACACCGATTTCGTTTGTGGTTGTTGCTTGTTTTCCAGTTTCCGTCTATCCAGTTACCAGTATATGTAATCCAGTGTATAATATATAACGTAAGTATTTAATATAATTATTATTTATTACTAGTCGTTATTTTATTCATAATATTAGTCGTTTACAATCACTCGATCCGTCCAATTATAACAATAATAATAGGTATATCTTATATCTATTCAATTCATTGTTTCGGGAGAAGTGGTCGGCTTGCTTCATATTATGAATAAGTACAATAAAAGTTAGGTAAGTATGAAAAAAAATCTAGGTAGTTATGGACACTTAAATAAATCATAACCTACCACCACATGCTGATGTATCTTCAACAGTATTCAACTTTCTTACATACCTATTTATTTTTATTTTGAAGCTTATATATTTATTGTTCCATCAAACAACATGTAGATGCATATATTTTTAACCAAAATTAATAAACAATTTTTATGAGTTAAAATCGTTAATTATTAATTATTTTATATTAGGTAGGTACCTACCTATTCTTTTATTTGATTAAAACTAATTGTGAATAATTTATGTAGGTAGATATTGATTATTGATAAATAGTGACCAATTAATAAGTCTCAAAGTAAATAAAAGTTGAATAGTTATAAAGATACATCAGCTAGCAAGTATACAGTGTACCTATACCGACCTATACTTACCTATAAATTATGATTTATTGAATTGCCCATAACTATAAAAAATAACAAAACAGTTCTCTTTAAAAGAAGTTTTTTTTGACTTGGCTAATTACTTACCCTGGGACACATTATTGTACATAAACATAACAGTCAAAAAATTATTACGATAAATTAGATTTAATTTTTAATTACCTATTTACATTAAAATAATTAACAATTTCTGTAGGTATTAAAAACAAGGCCGGAGGAGAAGTATTGGTGGCCGGAGGAGAAGTATTGGCAAAATTGGTTCCTTATCCGGTTCTCGATATCACGTAAAAAAAAAAAAGTATTAAAAACAATGATTAAAAGTAGTAGAACCAAAAGAAGAAAAACTAGACAAGAAATACATTTATTCGAGGAAATATATTCAAACTGTGAATTAGATGAATGTGCTTCCAAGTTATCCAAATGACAAAACATTGAACCGTATGAAGGACAAAATATAAACATATTCCAAAAACAAAAAATACCAGTTTCAAATTGTAATGTTGTATTCGGAAATAATGATGCCATAGTTGATACTGCCATAGTTTCTCCACCTTGTTCTATAACAATTTCTCAAGTTTCTGATGATTCATTTGAAAACATTACTCCAGTAGCTGAGTCTTACTCAATATCAGATTTACCAACTTTGTCACCACAAATATCAACTATTAACTCATTTTTATCTAATTGGGCAGTAGAGTTTAAAATTTCTCACAATGCAGTAAATGGCTTATTGCAGGCGCGTATCCAGAATTTTATTTCGGGAGGGGCTGAACAAAATTATCAACATAGTCACACAATAAAACAAAAAAGTGGGTAAGTGGATGTCGCTCTGCTGTACAGTAGGTTACAAGTGGGTCACTGTAATGGATGGTGTAAAATTTAAATTCAATGATATAATATCATTGTATAAGAAAAACGATTCTAAGCGAAAACGGTCGCTTATGATATTAGCCTATGATATTACTAAGTATATTTGATGATATTATTGTAAATAAAGTAATTTATATATTTACCTATTTACGTGGACCATTGTTTTAAATTTTTAATCCTTAACTATGAAAGTTGAACATTTTATAAATTTTTAATTACAAAATATTTATTACATTTTAAATTTGATAAATTTTGTCAAAATTCGAACTTTAAATGATTATAAGAAAAAATTGTGCCTATGTATTTTTAATACTTTTCAACTAATATTGTTACAATATATCAGGAGCCTTGCGTTAAATTTTCATGCTTTTTTACCAAACAAAAAATTTTTTATTGATATTTATAGAAAAAAAACTAAGAAAAATGAAAACTGTCAATGTCCGTAAATAGCTCAAAAAGAGGCAAAATATTTTCAAATTTTTTTGGTGTATAAAAAATGAAAACATTCAGCAAAATTTTAAGTTTTGTGATTTTTCCGTATTTTGTCAAGATTCGAACTTTAAATGCTTATAAAAAAACTATGACTAAGGATTTTTAATATTTTTCAACTGCTATTGTAACAATATAGCAGGAGCCTTGTATTAAATTTTCAAGCTTTTTTACCCAACAAATAAAGTTTTATTGACATTCATATTTTTTGGATTTTCTTGAAATTTCAGGGGGGGCTGCAGCCCACCCAGCCACCCCCATAAATACGCCCCTGGCTTATTGAATGGTTTAAAAAACCACCAATACAGTATTGATAATAGTCTAAAGAACCTTCCATCTGATGCACGTACATTATTGAAAATTCCATCTAATATTTCTAAAGAAATTCGTACTGTTAAACCTGGAAAATATCACCATTTTGGTTTAGCTAACGGAATTCTAAAACATGCTTCATCAAATATTAACCAAATTCAGGTTGATGGATTACCATTGACTAAAAGTAATAACAGTCAGTTTTGGCCTATACTAGCGTATATTATAGAAGAAGCTACATTATTAACTAAAGTTGTTTTTCTTGTTGGCCTATACTATGGAAAAGAGAAACCACTCGATAGTAATGACTATATGTCAGATTTTGTGGAAGAAACTAAAGATCTTACCTTACATGGAATTTTAACTAATAATACTAGTATTATAGTTTCAATTCGGGTTTTCTGCTGTGATGTGCCGTCAAAGTCTTTCATTTTAAAAATTAAAGGTCATAGTGGGTTTTCATCATGCACAAGATGTGGAATCCATCGAAGGTGAATATTTGCACAATAGAGTTTGCTTTCCGTACACTGGAATTCAATCAACTATGAGAAATAACCAGAATTACATTAATATTACAGATGAAGAATATCATGTTGGCAGTGTGACATCAAATCTTGTAGAATTACCAAATTTTGATTCCGTTTTTTCTTTCTCACTTGATTATATGCATCTAGTTTGTTTGGGTGTAATGAAAAAATTATTGATGCTGTGGCTAAGCAAATGTCCAGTTACTGTTCGGATACGGTCAGCAAAAATGAATGAGTTATCTTTACATTTATTAAATCTTAATGTCTGTGTTACTTCTGATTTTGTTAGAGAAAGCAGAACTTTACAAGAGTTAAGTCGATGGAAAGCGACAGAATTCCGTTTTTTTTTTTGTTATATACTGGACCAATTGTATTAAAGAAAATTATAGGAAAAGAGTGTTATACCAATTTTATGACGTTGAATATTGCAATGATAATTCTTTTGAGTCCAGATTGCAGTTATCTCATTAATTATGCTCGTCAACTATTAAAATACTTCGTAATGAGTTTTCAAAATATTTATGGTGCACAATTTGTGTCCCATAAAGTTCATGGATTACTACATCTTTGTGATGATTATGAACACTATGGCCCACTTCATAACTGTTCAACATTTATGTTTGAAAATTATATGAAAGAACTAAAGTCATTTGTAAGAAAACACGATAAGCCATTACAACAGGTTATAAATAGAGACAATGAAAAATGCTATGCTAGTACCACAAATTCAAGAAAAAATAATGAAGAATTTATTCTGAAACCTTCATTGCAACATATTTAAAAGTTATTTACATCTTAATATTTAAATAAAGGAAATACAGTATAGTACAGATATATGAGGTAATGATATATGTAACAATAATATAAAAATTATTTAGATTCTATTATATAGATTGGATATTTTAAGGAATGTTATTAAATAATTAAAATTGTCTATACTTAAAATATCTTTTAATGTTAGGTGTGGAAAAATTTTTCTTTGTTCTGTTAGATTAGGGCATTCTAGGAGTAGGTGTGCTGTGGAAATCGGGGCGTTGTTGCAGAGTTCGCAGTTTGGTCTCGGTTCTCTTCTCATTAGGTGGATGTGAGTGATGTTAGTGTGTCCAATTTTCATCCGTGTCCATATCACTTGTTGTCTTCTCGTACTTGAGGGGGGGTTCGGGTTAGGTATCAGAAGAGGCTTTATTTGGTATAGTTTGTTGTTCAATTCCTGGTCCCAGAGTCGTTGGTGGATCATTTTGCTACTTTTTAAGGCATTTCGGGCAGTGTCCTTGAAAGACGTAAGGTCTATTTTGGGAATATTGATGTTGGTGGAGGCTTCTTTGGCTGCTATATCAGCTTTTTCGTTTCCTGTTATGTTTTTGTGGGCAGGAATCCACATGAAGGTTACTGAACGGGGAGCAAGAGAAGAGGCTCTTTCTTGTATGTTTTTTATTATTTCATTTGATGTCCCTTGGTTTTGTATAGCTAGGATAGAACTAAGGGAATCGCTGGCTATTAAGAAGGACTTTGTATTTTTCCAATTTTGTTCAGTTAGTTCTATGGCTTTCAGGATCACTAGTGCCTCAATGGTGAAAATAGAATTAATCTCTAGTGAAGAGAACTTAAAGGTTTCTTTATCTGTAATTATAGCTAGTCCTGTTTTGATGTTGGATTTTGATCCATCGGTGTATGTAAATTTATGGTCACAGAAATTCTTAAGTATAATGTCATTAAAATGTTTAGGGATTTCGGACGGCTCTATGTCTTGGATTTCTTGGATCATTGAGGTGTTGATGTTTAGGTTCATTTTCCAAGGAGGGTATATGTATGGATCAGGGGAGAGGAGTTTAGGCATTGTTGTATTTGTTGTGTCTAGCCATTTTTTGATTCGTGTAGATATTGGCTGATTTTTTCTTAAGTGTAAAGACGGAGGTGAAGTGTTGAAAAGGTATGGTGATATAGCATTGTCCTTGTCGGCTAGTCTTTTAAGTGCAAATTTATGGATGCGCATGTTTCGTCTTATTCCGAGTGGAGGTGTGTTTGCTTCACATAGGATGCTAGGTATTGGGCTGGTTTTAAATGCGCCAATACTCAGTCAGATGTTTTGGTTGTGGATTGGATCTAATGATTTTAAAATTGATTCAGGGGCTGCTCCGTAGATTATGGAACCATAATCGATGACGGATAGTATTAGACTTTTATATGTTCTCATTATGATGGTGCTGTTAGCACCCCATGCTCGATTAGAAATGGCCCTGATTATATTTAGTCTTAGTTTTTAACAATTTTATGTGTTTGGACCAATTAAGTTGATTGTTTAGGTTTAAACCTAACATTTTTAAGTCATATGTGGGTGGAATTAGAATATTGTTAATGTATATTTGAGGTGGGGTTTTATTTGTTTTGTATGTGAATAGAATACTTTTGGATTTTGCTGACCCAAATTTGAACCCCGTAGATTTTTCCCATTTGCTGATTTCATTGATAGCGTTTTGCATGATTGTTTTTGATGTGTTTATATTTCTTCCTTTGCAGTAAATAGTACTATCGTCGGCAAACATAATGGTTTTGAGTGGTGGCGGTATTATACTTGGAAGTTCGTTAATAGCTATATAAAGAGGGTGACACTTAGACTTGATCCTTGGGGTATGCCGTTTTGGAGATTGTGATTACTAGAATTCAACAGTAAATAATTAACCCCCTTTTTCTTAAAATTATTCTTAATTAATTCATAATTTATTATAATATACAGCACGAACTATTTCAATAAATTATTTCTAAAATGGAAAAATGTTTACCTAGTGAAGACGTCCTAAATAATTTCAACTATAAATGTTAATTAATTAATAAAATACATTTTTCTCAAATTAATTACTATCTGAAATAATTAATTAAATAAAGCAATGCCTTCAATTTATTTCTTCTCTAAATAACTGAATTGAATTTCCGTTGTATTTCAATAACTATATTTATTCCTAAAATTATTTTATTATTCTATAAAATTATTAATTAACTGAAATTATTATAATAAGCAACACAATTGAATTCGATAATCTGATGCGTAAAATAGAAATTGTTCAGCTTAAATAAATTTAAATAATAGGTACAAATGTTGTTACGAACGGCCCTTCAGGGATCCAAAGGCTGTTGCACTTTTACAATAAAATGTAGTCAATTTAAAATATAAATCAATTGTATTTTATTAAAACCAATAATAATTAATATAGTCGTGGTGAATTGCAGCGTCGTGAACTGACTCGTTGTAGTAGTTGATAATCTCCATGTAAGCTGTGTGTAATGGCTGGTGCTTTAAGCTGCTCGCTCGGTCTTGGCGGCTCTGGTACATCTAATTTGTATTGGGGCCCTAGCCTCTATATATACGAATATACGAATATCGACCATATTAGGCAGCCGTAAAGCGTCGTTTTCCCAGTACCCCCGGGCCCGTCGACGTAGAACATTTTCGGGACGTCGCGGTTGTCATCGACGGCCGCCATCACGCGGTCTTAAACCGCCCGCTGTTCGTCGTTGAGGATGTCCAACTGCAGAGTCCAACGCACCACTGCGTCGACGAAGGCGTAGACGTCTCCTCCCGCGTCCTCTTCGAGCAGCGCGACGTCCGGATTCGGCAACCCGTAGTCGGCCAGCGTTTTACCGTGACCCCACAGCAGCCACCCGATGGCGTCCAGGCACGCGGCCCTCGCGCGGTCCTCGTCTCTCAGTCTGTGGAAGAAGTCTTGCCTCAGGTCTTCCTCGCTTACCATGTATAACGCCAGCGGATCCGCGGCCTCGCAGTACAGCAGGATCGTCACCAGTAGGTAACGCAGCTGTGCGGGAGTGTCCACGGCTGCGGACTCTGTCATGCACGCCAGCAGTGCTTGGTCATCCTCCAGGAGTCCAAGCGCCACCGCCGCCGCCGCGTAGGTCGGATACACGACCCCGTCGACTGTCCTCATGTCTCTGAACGACTGAGGACCTCTCCTGTGCAGCAGCAGCAGTCGCAAGAGGAATCGCTCTCGATCTAGGGGGTTGACCGCGTACATCCGAGACAACGTCTCGTTGGCCATTACCCTTCGACGCCGATTCCGCCTCCTGTCTCTTTCCACCCAGGTGTAATGCATCGGTATCTCATGGTAGATATACTGTCTGGCCTCGGGGTCCGTCTCGTTGAGCGAGAAGAACGCCGTGAGTCTTGTTCGGGCCAGCGCTGCGTTTTGCACACGCTACAGTTCTTGTCCCGGAGCGAAGTACACCGTGTGGTAGTCTTCCAGATGGACTGGAAGCCTGATCACCCTGTGACTCGGCTTATGCAACTCGTACGAAAACAGTCGCCAAACTGCTTCTGGCGGACTGACGTACCGAGCATTGATGTAACTGAAACAAACAAAATTCGTTCGATTAATACACAATAATGTTATGAGTAGTGATAATAATAATAATAATACATTTTAATAAATAACACAAATAAAATTTAAAATATACAATTTAACTGCCAGAATTTGATTAGTTCTATTAGATCTATTAGTTAGTTTATTTTATATAATACTCTATGTATATAAGTTTTATTAAATAGTATATAGTCATATCATTATACAATTTAATTTTCAGACTTTAATTAAATAGGTACATAAAGTTCTATTTTGTTTATTAATATTGTATTATTTAGAATCTGTAGCAGTATTTGTATGCTACACTAAATTTATATAAAATGTAATATATCAAGTACCTACTACATAGTATGTTATATATTTACTATTTAACCACATAATCGAGCCCTTGTCTAACTCAGATGTGTTGATAAATAGCTGTGGATGTCAATTATATATAGTTATTTATCAATTGTCTATTAATTAACTTGATTTTATGCTCATGAATAAACCTACCTATAGTAGTCATATCGATCAATAATTATATATTGTAATATCCTCCATAAACCTAATTACATAAGGAATATCAAATAGTATAGCCATATATATCATTATAAAATTTAACTGCCAGAATTTAATTAAATACATGAAGATCTATTAGTTTATAATATATTATTGTATTATATAGTATCTGCAGCAGATTAATTAAACATTATAATCTAATTTATTATTTAATAAATAGTTTATTCCATATAATACTCTACCTATATAAGTTATATCAAATAGTATATAGTCACATATAATTATACAATTTAATTTTCAGACTTTCATTAAATAGGTACGTAAAGTTCTTTTTTGTTTATTAATATTGTATTATTTAGAATCTGTAGCAGTATTTGTATGCTACACTAAATTTATATAAACGACTCACCTAAAAACTGTCATAATCAAGTAAATACTACATAGTATGTTATATATTTACTATTTATTATTTAACCACATAATCGAGCCTATGTCTAACTTAGGTGCGTTGCTCAATAGCTGTGGATGTCAATTAAATATAGTTATTTATATTACATCCATATAGATAATTATATTATGTAAAAAAATTACAATGTCAACTTATAAAAATAATAAAATTTAAAAATTAAATAAAATATTTTTTTAAGGTCAGTGTACTACTGTATGAATTAATTATGTAACATTAATATCAAAAGCATAGTAACCGAAAAGTAACCATTATTTTATAGTATATTGTTACTTTGCATATAAAAACAACAAACAAATAAATATTTAAGAATATAAGTTGAGTATAAGTGTTTTTTTTTTTTAAATCATAGTAACAATATTTAAGGAGTTATACATCAAAGTTAATAAAGAACTTTTGTTTCGTTGTCCAAGTATGCTACATTTTTAAAATAACTTTTTTATT